TACATACATACATGCATACATACATACCAGAAAGAATACATGCATTATATGCATACATACCTGCATGCATGCATGCATGCATACATACGTACCAGCCAGACAGACAGCCGGACAGGCAGGCAGACTGGCAGGCAGGCATGCATACATACATACATGCATCCATACACGCATACATCCATACATGCATATATATATATATATATGTAGGTATGTATGCATGTATTTTTGTATGTATGTATGTATGTATGTATGTATGTATGTATATGCGACAACTACACATGCACCAAGGTTGAAGCTGATGATCTGGCGGCGAAGCAGCCGGAAGAGGCTTAGGGCTTTTGAATAGGATTTCAAGGTTTTGGGTTTGAGGCTTAGGGTTTCTTGTTGGGTTTGAGGTTAGGTTTAACTGCCTGCGGGTTTAGGGTTTCAGGGGGTCGGGGGTTTCGGGGGTCTTCAAGCTTGAGAACTTCGTCCAACCACCAGCTGAAAGCTCAAACCCGAAACCTCAAACCGACAAAACTTCAGCTGGGCAGCTCTTCGAGCCCTACGTCTGGATGCTGTGGACGGATGAGGCGTGGAGCCCGTGGGCAGGGCCCCGGGCTCCCCTCTTGCCTCGGAGAAGGGAGGCCCTCAGGGTTGCTACAATAAGGGCTTTTTAAATCAACCCTAAACCCTGAACCCTAAACCATAATGAGGGTTTCGTGTTTAGGGGTTTTTGAGGGTTTAGGGTATTATACCCATTTTTGATAGGGGTTTAGGGGTTCAGGGTTGCGGGTATGACAAAATTTCTGGATGGGCTTCTCTTGTGTGATACTAATACTCAGTGAGGTTTACTGCAAGGGAAACCCTACGAAATACGCTAAGAGTTGTGTTAAGGGCAACTAGAAGGCCTAGGTTTCCAACAACTCAAGGGAAACTAGAAGAATCACCATAAGCGTTACTACGAGGATTACCACACGGGCTGCAATAAGGTGAGAGGGATACTAGAAGAATTGCTATGTGGGCTACTGTAAGTGTGAATGCAGCGGCAACTAAAAGAGCGACTAGGAAGGACACTAGAACGGTGGCTATCAGAGCCACTGTAACAGATGCTACAGAGGGCTGCCATGGAGTACTATAAGTTCTACGGTTCGGATTGGGACTACGGGCCGAGGGTTCATGATGGAAGCTTCACGGTTTGCGCTGGGGGGGCTCTGGGATGTAGGATTCGGAGTTGTGTTTTGAACCGATGCTTCAGGGCCTAGTTTCGAGCTTAGATGAGGCTCTGGGTAAGTGGGTTGAACTTCAGGCTGCAGAGTGCGAAGTACCCACTCATACACGGAGCACTCTTTTGACGAGGTTGACTATTCAACTCGAAGGTAAACGAGAAACTCCTCATATTATACCCTGACTGCGATGGAGGGAGCTTTAACTTTACATGAGACCCGGAACATTTAATACTTGAGTTCGGCCCGTCTATGTACTTTACCAGGACTGTAGCAAATGCTGTGGCGCTGAGAGAACTTCAATGAAAGCAGCGCATCAAGTAGGTACTTACACTGGCTGTGGCATGGTCTTACAGGGTTTGACAAGATCCTTCGCTTCATCGAAGAATCGGAGCTTATCCAAGACCGGGGGGTTCGGGGTATTTTGCAAGGGAACTACTGTTTTAGAAACATGTACGGTGTCAAGCTTGGAGGGGCTTTGAGGGTTTAAGGTTTGGGCCTATCGTCTTGGCCTGCCTTGTAATGCATAAGGTGCAGCTTAGAGCTCATCAGCGTGGGGTTGAGGGCGTGGGATATGCGCGCCAAGTGTCAATCGAAGGCAAGTTTTGGGACGAAGTTTACTGTAATTTGACTGCTCTAAACCCCAGCCCCCAAGACACAAAACCCATAAACCCTACAACCCCAACGCCCCCAAACCCCAAACCTCAACAACAAACACCTGAACACTTCGAAGCACAGCGCGAGGCCGCAAGCCGCTTCAAAAGCCCACAGACATGTAGGGGCCTTAATAATTCGAATAGGTATTTTGGGCCCATTATATACTATAATATAATAAGGAACCCCCCAAAATAGTGTAGGTAATGATTTAGGCCCCTATATTACCAAATAAACGAACAAGACATTCCCTATGTACACTTACACATCCAGCTCACAAGCCAAGAAGGCTTAAGCTGACAGTCTTGAAAAAGTCAGTAGAAACCCTGCATATTCCACGCGCACAACTTCGACTACTGAGCCTGTAATATAGGCGCCTTAATGATTAGAATATGTAGGGTTTTGAGGCCCATTATGCTAGAATTATAACAAGGAACCCCCAAACCAGTCTATTGGCTCACTTCTGAACCCCTCCTAAAAGTTAAACTTTTCGCCTCCTTGTTATAGGTAATGTAGAAACCCGAAAATTTAAAGTCAAGAACGCCAAGGTATAGGTAATTATTTAGGACCAGCCCGGACCTGCCGCGACTCAAGATGTCAAGCTGCGAAGAGTGTCTAGACGATTCGGAGGTCCATGCGGAACCTTCAGTTTCGAATGATTTACAACGGCCAGGCCCTGAAACTACAGATGCGGAGCGCTGCCGCGGTACGGGAGGCATCAATTAACGAAAACATCGGCAAACATAGGGCTTTGACGACTTGGCTTTCGCTCGGGGGGGTTGTCAGTCTACTTGGTAGACTTCGTAGTTCGCAGGCCGGTTTCGAGTCGGCAGCATCATCGTCCTCATCCTGATCCTCGTCCTCATCCTCCTCATCATCAGGACCATTATCACCATCACCATAACCACCATCATCGTCATCATCATCAGGGTGGCTGAAGGGAGCCGTCTGAGACTGGAGGCCACGCGTCAGGGGACTTTTTAAACATTTAGAATTTTGTGTTGTTCATAACCTTGGGGGTTCCTTCGCACAGGGAACCACGCTAGTCAGCAACTAACATGTTTCAGGCCCAGGCAAGTGTTAGAGAGCACGCGAACCTTAAGAACCTGGCACGTGGCTTTTGGGTACGGCCCCCATACAGTAACAGTCTATAATAGCGCTACTATTAATTGCCATATATATCTATATCATGAATCTGAGTGGGGGCCGTACCCAACGTGGCTTCATCTTTGCTGCCGGAATCTAAAGACTTTGCAATTGAGGCCAGCAGGGGTTGTCGCGAAGGTAATGGAGCCTTGGACCAGCTACAATCTAGGCGGAAGTAGCTGAGATAGGGGCCTCAATAATTCGCCTCGGCCCCGGCCGAAGCGGTCAGAGGTTCCTATTCGGATTCCCTCTATTCCCCACCTCTTAATCCCTTCCCAGTCCCCTTAAAAATGGAAACGTGTCACTGAGCTCCAAGGTACGGCGGTGAATTCTCGCCCCCTCCAACGGATTTTGGCTTCTGTGGGCAGTCCCACCCAATTCCCCTCCCCTCCCTCCCCCACCCTCCCCCCCCTCCACCCCCCCCCCTCCCCCCTTCCCTCCCGCCCCTCCTCCGCTCGCTGACAGGTGCGAGCTTTCTGTTTTCGACGACACGGGACTGCAATGTAGCATCTTTATGTGTTGGGGCTCGCCTTTAAGGCTGCAGTACCAAGCGAGTTTCAAACCTGAATTCCTAACCCTACACCCTAACCCCAGCCTGAAAAATTGGGGCTCGCCTGTGAGGCTGCAGTACCTGTTTCGGAATGACGACACCAAAATTCGTACTGATACTACCACTACTAATACTACTCACAATCATCCTGCTTCGTGTTGCTATGAACATTACTTTTACTATAAGTGCGATTCCAACTGTTACTTTTTTCCTACAAGAGCTTGCTGCAGATAGTAGCCACTCGCCGCATGCGCGTACAGCCGGGCCGAGGCGGACGACGCGCAGCGTTTCAAATTATCATAGGATATTGGGGCCCAATATACTCGAATTATTATAAGGAAAACCCAAAATAGTATAGGTAATCTTATTTAAGCCCCTGTAGTACTACCCTCCTGGACTCCACACCCCCACCCCTGACCTGCTGAAATGTCGGGTCCGAAGGTCGCAAGGTCCCAAGCTTGTGCAGGAAACATCGTACACACCGAGCATGGGGAGTTAAGGTAAACCTGAGCATCGCAGCCCCAAACAAGGTTCGAAACCCTAAACCCTAAACCCTAATCCCCTAAACCCTAAATGAAGCCCCAAAAGCCTGACTCTAAAAGGCCAAGTCGCTGTCTGACCGAAGCCGACCCTGGCAAGCAAGTGTCGATAAAAGCTCGATGTTCCCTAAGGCTCCAGTATGCCTTAACTAATGAACATTCCTTAAATTGCAATAGGATCCCTGATGTGATTTAAAGGACTATTCCTAAATTAAGGGATATTGGAGTTTCCGGGTTCCACTGCTCTAAACTCTAAACCTCAAGGGCTTCCATCCAGGGTCCCGAAGCATCCGGGCTTTAGTACTTTCAGGTTGGGCTCAGGTTCACTCCAAGGGAAAGTATCTGGACGCTGCTACATTTGAGAGTTGCAGCTTTGCGTGCGACTGTCCAAACTTCCCTGAAGACGGTTGATGATATGAATCCCGCACTACCTTAAAGACCCTGCACTATGGGAATCATGGTACATTCCTTAGTATGGGTAATGCAGGATTTGTATCATCAACAAAAACCTCGCCAAGCTGCTGATAGTGTGCCGAATGAATCCCACGACTCTTGTATATTGTCTAATCAGGAACGTCAAGATTTTCAGGAATCATCTTCCAACTAATTACTCAAGGATGCTACATTGCCATGCCCAAGAACGACAAACATGTCAACTCAACGAATCGGAACGCATCAAGCATGAGTTCTGGACACATGGTTTCGCACGAACGACCTCACAGCTGCATGGGTGTCTTCATGACATACCTCTGCGCCTAAAACTCTTTGAAGTGTGAGACCCTACATCGGAAGAGCGCCTAGAGTCTACGCACGCCGGAAATCCCGCACCCTGAACAGAGAGCAACACAGAGACCCCAAACCTCAAACCGCAAAGACCTCCAAACTTGAAGGGCCGAACCGTATTGCTTAGAGGTCCGGGCGAGGATTTGAGACTTCCACTTCCCGTTCTGCCTTGTCCGGCGAGGCTAGGAAACCTGAGCTTAGTGCGTTGCAGTGGGGACTTTTTTTTTTTTTTTGGGGGGGGGGGGGGGCAATTATACTACATCATATGATCTTTACTATATTATGTTGTAGCACACCAAGTGAACTGAATCAGATGATATAGTACAGCACAATGACATATTCTATAGACTATTTCATTTTATTTCACGGGAATATCGTCGTAAAGAGCAGCCAGGGAAGCCGGGGTTTGGCTCTCTCTAGCCTCTGCTACTCCACCTAAGAAGGCCCCGGCAGAGAAGAGGTTCACCATGTTTAAACACACACACACACACACACACACACACACACACACACACACACACTCTGACACCAACTAAGGATGAAGCGTTGAGTTTGAAGGTCCTGAGGCAGAACCATCAACTTCCCAAGACTACACACTTGTAGGGACGAGGTACATGCATACATGCATATGCATATATATATATATATATATATATATACATATTACATATATACAGACCTTATACAAGACTTCGGGGTATTGTATGGTGTTGACCGAAGATCCCATAATAAGGACGTTGTCGTGCGGTGAAGGGGGCCGCGGATTCACGATTAGAATCCCGGATTCAGGGCTCCTTAACCAAATTAGGTCATGGTAGGGCCGAGGAGTCAGAAATGCAATCCGAGCTCGGAGTTCGAGGCTGTAAGAAAGACTGAGCTCTCGTACTTAGCAGAAGGAGAGCCCCCTTCAGAAGAAAGGTGGCCCTCATGTCTATTGTTGAGCATCTCGGAAGTTTCGGAAAAAACAACACGGAACACATCCACAATGTTATTCCGCAGAAAGTTTTTTGAGACGAGATGCTTATGCCGTCTGCCGGTGTAGATTCGTCGCTTGTCTTACCCTCGAGAGGTGACGAGGGAGACGGCAGCGCTGACGACTCAACGGCTCTCGTCCTGAAGATGCCACAACACAATGTTAAGTCTCTCTTCCTGGCCGCCGTCATAGCAGTAGCAGCAGCATCAGCAGGTGCTGGTGGTGAGTTTGGTCGCAGTCGTACCAGTGGTGCTGGTTGATGATGTGCGGGGACCGTCGTCGCCGCCGTCGCGGCTAGTAGTTGTATGAGGAGGCGGTGGAGGAGTGGGAGCAGCCCCAGCAGCAGTCATAGCAGTAGCTGCGGTATCCTGATACCAGAACTGTAAAAAGTAGCAGCTGCACATGAGTCTAATGGCGGTCGGGCTTGAAAGTACGCCAGTTGGGGATACATACACTGTCCTGCTGGGGATACGTATGCGCTTGGGGCTTTGGGGATGTACATCCCTCCTTATCTTTCTCCGGGCTTCTCCTTTAGTTTTGTGTAGAAATAATTAGCCACGAAAACATGCCTCCTGAGGTAGAAATCATTCTATCCTCCGTTGTGAGTTCGCGCGCTACACCTTACATAAACGCTCGGTACGCCGAAAGATCTCTTTGAAGTAAGCGCGAAGCTGGAAACCTCAAACTGCAGAAGCCCGCAGAAGTCCGTTCGTGAGCGCTTCTCAACTCTGGTTCAGTAAGGTTCACGGTTTAGGGCTTACTGCAGCTACGTCTGGTGTCTAAAATGAAATCTAGCGGCCACACCGACACCCAAAGGCCTGCACCGACAGTGAGACGTGCAGATTAATGTGCACATCTTAGACAACGCCTCAACGGCGTACGGGCTTCCGCAATGGAGCTTGACTGAAAATATCATCCAACCATAGACTCTAAGCAGCATCACGCACGCACTCATTAGGAAGCTGAGCGGCAACTTTGCCAGGTTCTTGCGGATGGACCTCACCTGAAATGCCAAAAACAGTACTTGAAAGTATACTTGCAGATATTTCGCTACCTATGTACCAAGTGAGGTTCACTGCTTGGGATTTACAGTAGGGGTCCTCAGCCCAGGTTTAAGGCTTCTGGCATCCGTGACTTCGCAATGAGGCCTTTACTATATACTTCCACGGTTCAGGGATTTGTGAAAAGACTTAGCAGTTGGGCTTCTTATGGGTGCAATCGTCCGCGATACTGACGGCAAGAAATGAAGACCCCAGTAAGGCGAAGGTACGGCCAAAGGGGATTTCCTACCCCGCGAATTCCCAACACCCTCAAGCCAAATAGGATATAAGGGTTGGGGATGAGGGTCAAGGGTTACGGGGTTAGGGCGCTCTTTCTGATCTCTCAATGCTCTCAACCACCTTCAAGCCGTAGAAAGGAGCTTTTGACAAAAGGATCGATTCTTGTTGGCAGCCCTTTGATTTTGCTTATACTGGGCTACTGCAAGTAGTTAGTTCATTAGCAACCTCTGTTTTTCAAAGCACTGCCGAAGTGCACAACCGTCCGAGGTCTGAAGGGATCTGATTTGCCCATGCACTCCCCAAAGGTTTCGGGTGTAGGGTGTGGGGGGCAGTCTGGGAAGAAAGCCCTTCATGCCACCAACACTGTGCTTCGATCGTTAACTTTCTCAAGAAAGGATGTCGGTCTCGGATTTAAGCAGGCCCTAAAGGCTGAACGGTATCGTTTAGGGTTTTGGGTTTAAGGCTTATAGCACATAGCAAGTCTTGAGCCCGAAACCCGGTGCGGGGCCTGCTTGGCAAGTTGCCCCTGGCTCGTCGACAGGTTTCCTGAGCATCCAGATAAAGTTTGGTTTCTGCGAGGTCATTGCACGGTGTTCCACCCACTAAAGGGAACTCCAGAAAGTTGGAATACGGTTTCAGGGTAGGATACCTTATAACTTACCATAAAGGGTTTACGATAATGATATTCCAACTTTCTGGCTTCTACTGTAAGTTGTTTGAGCAAGCGGGTCGCGACCATGCTCGGAGGCCTCACAAGGTGGGAAGAAGGTAGGTGGGATTAAGGATCCCTTATATTCGGACTCTTGTTTGGGAATATCCCACCTACCTTCATCCTGCCTTTTGAGGCCCCCGACATGTGGGTCCCAATAGAAGAAGTAGCGCGTGAGGATCTTTGGACTCGCCGACGGAGTATCTTTAGGAGATCAAGCTCCCAAATCGGGAGCCTTACTTCATATGTAGAATGGGGTCTCAGTGCAAATTAAACTATCGGAACACTATCTGCTTATATATATATATATACATATATATATATATATATATGTGGGATACTATACCGACCCCCATGTGAAAAAGAAGATCCAGCTGTTGCAGACCCGAGCCACGAACCATGTACTTGACGAAGTGGTTTGCTGTCTTTGACTCCCTCATCCAGCGGCTGAGGGCCTGAGAGCCACTTTGCAGAGAGGAGAACTTATGAGTGTAGGCAGACCGTAAACCCCAAACCCCGAAACCCTACACCCTAACCCCCAAACCCAGAAACCCAAAACCCTTAAACCTTATTCTAATTATTTAGGCCCGTATGGCAGGCAGGGCGCAATCTGAAACTCGTCAGGGCTAATGGAGCCTCCCTGGTCTTCGTCGAGCATGCGGAACAGCCTTCACTGGATGCAGGGTTGATACGTAGGGGCCTTAAGAATGAGAACAGGGTTCTGTCAGGGTTACTATGGGAGTTACCGCAAGGGTTTAGTATAGGGGCTATGGTAGGATTATATGAGCCCTGAAAGGTAAAGGTTACCTACTCAGTTACTAAGGATAAGACTTCGGTGACGATTTCTTTAAACATGCGGACTTCTAAGTATCTGAACACATATGGGCGGTTGTCAAAATTATGGTCCCTTTTTGGGTCTGTGTTATAGTACAGTGAAACCAATTGTCTGACGGAGCCATGCCGGGAGTATTGTATCGGAACTTCTACTGCACATGCCTGGTGAAACAACAGCCATGTCAACTTATAGAGAACATTTCGTAAACCCATGAGCCCATGGACACCCTGCAACCGAAGCCTACATCAAGCCTCTAAACCCTTAAGTCCTACAAGCCGTATGAGCCCTAAACCCGAAACCCTAAACCCTCGACTTTAAGCCCTGTGAGCCCTAAACCCCCCTAAACTCCCTACAAAGCCCCACAAAGCCCACTAAGCCCAGGCTGAGAGGCTGCTCAAGGTCCACGGCATCGATGTCCATGACGCGTAGTCGGTTTTGGAACTCTGGGACCTCTGTGCGACTTTTGCGCGGTGGCTTTGACTAATATACCTAGAGGCTCCATAGTAATTCCTTTTTGGGGTTCATATTTGGAATCCTATAAGGTGCTCCCAAAAAGGAACTCCTATTGAGCCTAAGGGTAAAGGGGCTTAAATAATTAGAATAGGGTTTTGGGGCCCGTTATGCTGTAATTATAATAAGGAACCCTTTGATTTAGGGTTGCCCCTGAAGCATTAGTGTCGAAGATTTTGTCCCCCAAACCCTCAACAAGATACCTAATGGAAACTGCAAGTTCGGGTTGACATTCTATTTGGGGTTGTACAGAGCCGCTTGGGAGCTGAGGGTACGCGGTTTTGGGGTGAGGATTAAAGTTGTAAGCTCTCAAATTTAGGGTCCAGATGAGCAAAGGTTTAAGCAACTAGATTTGCGTATGTAAGATTCAGGATCTTGAGAGTGCGGCTGCAGGGCTTGGAGCTGTGGCGTGTTGTAACATGCAATGAGGCTGCCGCTTTCGCTCTACCTATAGTCTCCATTGTAGTTCCTTTTTTTGGTCTAACCAATTATAGAATTAGGATCCCATAAGGTAACCCCAAAGTGTAACTACAATGGAGACAATAGGTAGTCCTGCCCACACCCAAGGCTCAGGCAAACCCCACTACACCATGAGGAAACCAAAGAGCCTGAACCCGCACATCCCTGAACCCTAAACCAACCCGACAGCCAAGGGCCCAAACTCTAACCATAAACACATGAACTCTCAATGGCAGCCTCTTCCGCCCCCTGGATCAACTCTGACAGGGACAGCTCCCCGTCTCCGTTTGCGTCGACCTACGGTTCGCGCCGCACTTCAGTGGGTTCAGGCAGCTTAGGATACACTCAGGGACTCTAGGTTGAAGACATGGGGGTTTCCGAAAATGGGGGACCGTAATATGGTACCCTGAATAGTAGGATCCTTATTATGAGGACCCCCAAATAAGGTACCCTTAATTTTCGGAAACTCCCACATGGACTTAGCCCTTTCGGCTTAGGGCTGGATAGAGCTTCGGGATGATTTGGGATTCATCAGATTATCAGGATCCAGGGTGTCGGACGGGTGTCGGTGAGGAAACGCCACAAACGCAGGTTCACTGGATCGTCAAACACCTTCGTGCGCGTGTAAACATGCAAATCCCTTTCTCGCTCCCACTCCCTCTAATTTTCTCTCTCTAGATGTATGACAGCGCTGGCAGCAGCCGTGGGAGCATGAGGAATAACAGTCGTCGCTGTCGTAATCGTAGTAGTAGCAGCAGCAGCAGGAGTAGTAGTAGTAGTCGTCGCCGGAGCTGTAGCAGCAGCAGCAACAGCAGCTGCAGGAGCAGACTTACCAACGTGGTAATTCATGGCCCAACCTTCTTGAACATCTGCCCCAGCAGTTTGATGTCTTCTTGGAGCTCGTAGTCAAGATCTGCAGCCAAAGTCGAGATGTCCTGCGGCTTAGGCTCCCAGCTGGCTACGATTTGGTTTAGTAAAATCAAGGACATCCGTTCGGGAACCTCGTAGGCTGAGTATGATGGTGACCCTTAATAAGGACCCCTTTGGTATATACCCTTAATTTAGCCATTATATACCCATTACATAGCCCATTATAGGGTAGGGCTATGATGGTGCTTCAGCTACTGATCATGGTTGCGCCGGTCTTACTTAAAGGCTCATGGGACTTAGTAAGTAAGGTCATAAGTACCTTAATTGGGGTTATAAGTATAGTTACCTTACTTATAACCCTAGTTAGTAAGTCCCATGATCCTCTAAGTACTCATCCTCGGCTCTCTGACTTTATCTCGCGGCAGAGGCCTGAAGATCTTTCTTAAGGATTGGGTGGTTGTCAAACTTAGGGTTCCTTCTTGGGTCCTTATTATAATATAATACGGCACCTATTATTTAGGGTACCCCAAAAGGGACCCTAATTTTGACAACTACCCGATTGGCAAGGCCCTAGTTTTCGGGGATTGAAGAGCATGCTACGCGGCCGGGGTCCTGAGGTTAGCGTGTACATAGTTGCACGAGTTGCCCAAGAAGAACTTCCATTATACTACACCATACTATACTATACCATACCATACCATGCTTTGCCAATTCACTATATATACTAGCTCTTCTTTTTCTGTAGTGACTAAGACTATACTGATCAGACCATACTACGTAGTTAGACGATACTATACTCTACAT